TCTCTCTCTCTCTCTCTCTCTCTCTCTCTCTCTCCACTGCATTATTTGTAGAGAGTTCCTTCGGTGTAAGGTTGCTTGCATCGTGTCCCTTTGATTTAGGCTTACCTGTATCGCTTGTGTCGCCTGTATTATTTGTCCCAATCCCTTTGAGTCAAAGTTGTGTCTGTTCCCAGTGCTGCTGCTTTGAGTCAGGCTGATCTATCTTTGATCCGAAGTTGACTACGTTGGCCCCTCCTTTGATCTGAATTGCCTTTACTAATTCGTTTCGATGCGGAGTTGGATCTAGCGTCACTGTTCTCATCTTTTTTTTCCCTCCCCATTTTGCAGAGTTGCGATTCTCTCGGTCATTTAATATCTCGTGTTAATTCTACCTTTCTTTTTTTTTTTTTAAACCTGAGATCACGTTCGAAGCGTGATCTTAAAATCATTTACTCCAAATACTCACTGGTAGGTGACTTAACATCGTCGGATATATTTGTCAGATATGTCAAGTGATGCCAAATATGTTCTACTGCAGAGTGTTACAACATAATCTACTTTCCGAACCGCAAATGGTCAAAAATCCTTCCACTGTGCCGACTCGACGTAAATCTCGGAACGCAAATTACACCAAATAATCCATGACCCAGTACCGAAGATAACGAAGATTCGAGGTCGCGGAACTTCACAAGTTCACAAACTTCGCCGCGAGAGTCATTAATCACAGAATTCCAACAGACGTTGGTGGCACATTCAACCGCGTATCTTCCACGCACGCCTACGCTGCCAAAATATATTTTATAACACGGGCCTGTTAATGGCACGCGAATGTCGTCGGCGTTATTCAGCCGTATAATACGAAACGGGCATAAACAAGCATGCACACGCTACAAGTTAATGCCAAGCATGGAAGGAAGAGAAGCTGAAAGCGCGAGCACGCCCACGAAATATCGGGTCAAGTTTAATGACTCGAACTTTACCATGTTCTCCCTCGGAGAAACACGATGAAACAAGGATGCTTCCATGTCAACGCGGGATTCGCCCGCGTATCGCTGAAAACGCGGCTCGTTCTCAGCCTGTCTACCCAACTTAGTCAAACATTTTATTCGGTGGGTTTTTGTTTGCGTAATTTTCGAAACAAGCAGTCATTAAACTTGGAAAGGGCCGATAATAGTCGTCGAGAATTTTGTATCAAGCGCGCGTATGCGTTCTATATTTATAAAAGTTTGTCCTTAGATGTCATAGATGAATTCGAATTGATGGA